CAAGGCCTGTTATGCTTTTTTGATGACCTTTTAGCTTGGTTTTAACCTGTGAGAGGAGCAGCCAGATTGTAAGCAATCCCATATTCCAGATATCATCACAAACTGACAAATTTAAGTTCAGTGAACAGAGACCTCATCAACCCGAACATTGAAAATTTGGATGGAAGAAATATTGGTGGGTAGATTGAAAAATCTGATTCTTTTTTTTTTCCCCTAATTTTCAATAGGTGTGTGCAAAGTAGATGGTGGAGTAAGCATTTTGAAGGATGGTACAGAAGCACCACTGTCTTTTTAGATTGTCTTATGCATGGCACTTCAAAAGTTTCATAGACAATGCATATTCAGTATCTTATCTTAAATTAATCAACCAGTATGCTAGATATGTGTTGAATGAGAGAAATGTTCGGAGGAAACAACCTACCTTAAATGTCATCATATTGAAAAGGGATATTTTCCCCCCTGAAGCAGACATAACATATGAGTCCTTCTTTGAAAGTGCAAAGCATCGAACAGCATCTTCGGGGTTTGTATCGCTTATATCATTGGTCATCAATATTCAACTTGCGGGTTGCCACAATTGTGGTACAGTACTAGCTGTGGCCTACAAGAAACAAACATTTTAGTAAATGGCAAGCTTAAGGATACATAAAATGTTACAAAAATGCAACCATCTCTGTTAGGAATTCTAATACCTTAAGTCGTGTTTCGTTCGTTTCTTTTGCCATTTCCAGAGCTTGTGTACAGCATTAGATGATAATGCCAATACAAGGTTTTCCCACAACATTGCTCTTTTCCATCTACAAGGTGTAGCACGCATGATGCACAAAGAAAAGAAAACAGAACAAAACATAAAATCTAAATCTAAAAATTTACAGATAAATAATCCTGACTCATGGATCTCTCAATTTAACACTGGCACGAGTGGGTTAGACATCCATTTCCACAAGCAGAAAAAAAGTTCTACAGGATGTTCTGAGTGTTAGAATGCTCAAGCACGTTATATGAGTATGCATATAAAGTATAACACCAATAAGGTTTGAATAGCCCATCTTAGTGAATAACTAGTATTTAAATATTTAAATATATTTTATTTTTATTCAATAATATGTGAGTATTTTGAGAATAATATGTGAATTTTGTGTGTATTATTGAAAATTTTGTAAAAAACAAGTGTCTTAAACATGAAAAATACGTACGTACGTGTAAAATATGAGTATTAAACGTGAAAATTCTAAATTCTTTATACGAGTAATAACTTTGGAAAAATAAAAACTCAAGATGGGACAATAGAGACTCGGGTAATGGCCTAATAGTAATGGATTATGCTCTAAACTACTCTTATCGATATACAAAAATTGGGGAAAAACAATTATAAAAAAAAAGATCACAATATCTATGTAAAGAGTATATCCGCTCGGCTATACTATTTATCAAAAAGAATTAAAAACGACCCGCGTAGAGCCGTGCGGCTATACTGTTTTTTATTAAAAAAATTAATTCGGCTTATAGCCGCACTCGGCTATACTATTTATTTATAGACCCGCCTAGCGCATGATTTGTGAAAAGCGTATAGGAGCATGGCTATGCTATATAAATTGAATTTTTCAAACATATAGCCACGCGGCTGTACTCCACAAATAAAATTGCTTGCAGGAATAAGGTACCAAGCTAATACAATAGCTCCACTGCACTAGATGGTTGGACCTGTTAAGGAACTGTGTGTCAATTCTGTTATCATATCTGTTTAGTCTATTCTTGTATATTCTTTTCAAAGATGTGTCTAGCTTGCCATATTGCAAAAATTCACAGTGAGGTAATTAGTCATTACTCTGCGATCATTGCTGACTGAGTGTTGTGAAATTTGTCTTCCCTTTTCATTTGTTTTCTTGGATAAAGGCATCTGTTGAGCACAAAGCATGGGAGCTCAAGCAATACATTGAGGAGCTTTACTGGGGATCCAGTAAGCGTGTGATGCTGCTGGGGTACAGAAAGGGCGGCGTTAATGCTGTAGCTGCATTGTGAATCTACTGGTGTGATTTGAAAAACAAAGTTGCTGGTTTAGCACTGGTACAGAGCCCCTATGGTGGCACACCCTTGGCTTCTGATATTCTTCGCGAGGCCATATTGCAAACAAAGAAACCCGCAGGATCATGAAGCTTTAAGCAGGCCTAGGCGGCGCTAGGCGGATCTAGGAGGTTCTAGGCAGGCTTAGGCGGCGCTAGGCGGGTCTAGGCGGGTCTGGGTGCCAGGGTGGGTCTGGTTCTTTAGGATTTAGGGTCTGGGTGCCAGGGTGGGTTTGTCGTATTTTTTCCAGGTACGTGTGCCATTTTCTTCGTTGAAGCCGATATTTCGAGCAAGAACTGTATCAGATGCACCACCTTTTGAACCCAGCAATATTGCGTCATTGGAGACAATATAACATTATATAATCAAATAGAAGATCACTATTCTCTCTTTGTTGTATGCCTGATGACATGTATTGCTCTTTCTTTCCCTTATAATAATAATAATATCTGAATGTTATGATTTATAGTATTTATATATATGCAGGGTAAGATATCAAGAGAGGAGGTTGCTCAGATTTGTGTTGCTGTTGTAGTGCTTAATGGAACTGCTTGAACTATTGAATATCTTGCAGGTCAGGGAAAACTGTTAACCTCCCAATTTGATCTTAAAAGGAAATCCTCGAACAAGATCCTGTACCAGTGTAATGTTTTGCATACATAGAGCTCTAATTTCAACCTTAACTCTGTAAGTATAATGGAGCTTAATATACTTCCATTTTCATCTGAGATAATTCTCTCAGCAATGAGTCAAGGACTAATGAGAAGAAAATCTGTCAACATATACATATATATTAATTCTCTCTCTCTCTCTTTCTCTCATTGCAGGTGTATATACTCGTAGCAGATGAAAAGCAGTGGCTTCTACAGGAACATACATAAGCGACCAAGATTATACTTCTACAGGAACATACATAAGCGACCAAGATTATACTTCTACAGGAACATACATAAGCGACCAAGATTATAAAATTTTGTAGGACAAATCTACATGATTTAAAATGTTTCACCTGAGATGATAGGTTCTCACTTTCAAAAGGCTATAGCCTTGATCACGATGAGGTCCAAACCTCCTGATTATGTATATGGAACGTGGCACCATATGGAACGTTGCATCAAAGCCCTCTGCAATGATGATGTAACTGGCGGCTTTAAAATAGGAAAGGATGTGTCACTTCGGGAAACATGTGTTCGTTCTGCGAGAAATCCTCTTAGAGATCTTGGAGGCAAACCCCTTCTCAGAGGCAGATTCTTGCCTTTTATGTTGGAAATGTGCATGGCTATTTCCATGTATTTTCACATATTATTGAATAAAAGTACTACACATTAAGAATTTTAAATAATTAATATTAAAATCGTTTATCATGATAAAATTTGTCACCGTATATTTTTCTTACTTTTATTGAATAATGTACGTACATATTTTATTCCACATTTTACTATCTTGTGATTCATTAAGAGATTTTCTATTTAAACCCCGCACTTCTCTTTGTTCACCCCAATACTTAAATCATTAAGCTGTAAGTTTTATTATTGTGTAAAAAGACAAAAAAGGTCATCGAACTTAATAATTAACCCTAGTGCACACACCCTACACACTCCACCACTCTTCATATTAAGTTTTAGAAATCTCCTTCCAACTTCCTGTTTACAAACTCTCTCTCTCTCTCTCTCTCTCTCTCAAGTTCTCAACTCAACAATACCCCAAGTGTTAGATATTAAATTTCGGATTTAGGGTTTCATTTGTTTGTGTTTTTTTTGGTTGGGAACAAAGAAAATTGTGGGGTTTAAATAGAAAATCTCTTTTAATTCTTATTTTTTCAGTTTGGGGTGTATTTAAGGGTATGTTGGGAAGATAGTGGGGTTTTCTTAGAAATTGTGAAAATTTAAATTAAAAGTTGGGGTGAACTTAGAACATGAGGTGAACTAAGAGAAGTGTGGGATTTAAATAGAAAATCTCTATTTATAAAAAGAAAAAATAAATGGTATAGCCGGTCGGCTATACTGTATAAATATAATTTTCAGATGTATAGCCGCACGGCTATAATTCATAATAGAATTTTCGTAAAGGTATAGCCGTTCGGCGATACACTGTAAATAGAATTTTTCTTGGGTATAGCCGATCGGCTATACCCAATTGATTAACAGTCTCATTGACCGCATCCCACACCTGCAGAATATTGAAAAATCATAACTGACATTGAACTTGAACTTGCACAATTACTTTAGAATTGGTTAAGTCATAGATCAAACCTTAATAACCCAATCCTAGGTGGGTCTAGGCGGCGCTAGGAGGGTCTGGGCGGCGCTAGGCGGGTCTAGGCGAGCCTAGGCGGGGCTAGGCGGGGCTAGGCGGGTCTAGGAGGGTCTAGGCAGCCCTAGGCGGCACTAGGCGGGTCTAGGCGGCACTAGGCGGGTCTTGGAGATTCTAGGCGGCCCTAGGCAGCACTAGGCGGGTCTAGGCTGCGCTAGGCGGGTCTAGGAGGTTCTAGGCGGCGCTAGGCGGACCTAGGCGGCCCTAGGTGGGTCTAGGCGGGTTTGGGCCGCGCTAGGCGGGTCTGGGTGCCAGTGTGGGTCTGATTCTTTAGGGTTTAGGGTCTGGGTGCCAGGGTGGGTCTGTCGTATTTTTTCCAGGTAAGTGTGCCATTTTCTTCGTTGAAGCCGATATTTCTAGCAAGAACTGTATCAGATGCACCACCTTTTGAACCCAGAAATATTGCGTCATTGCAGGCACAGTTCTGCAGCCACTTTCTTTTAGTATATTCTTTCACTTCATTTTCTTCTATGTTTATTGATGGGATTCAAAATTTTTACAGCTCATGTTTAGCAAGTTTGAATTTGATGGGAAACTGAATCCTACTTTTATCAGAAGTATGACTTACTGTAACTGTTTTGCATTTCTCAAATCTCAATCTAGTCATCTTCATTGTTAGATTGGTGATGTTAATGGTTTACAATTTGATTGGAGATTGGCAATTTCTTGTTGGAGAAGTTCTGTCGTACGTGTACGTTAGATGTGCTCATCTTCAAATTTGTAGGTAAAAGAAGTATATTTCAATTATGCAAACTGATGGACTCGCATTCCGTAGAGTCTATGAATAGTTTCCTTGAGTTTTAATTCAGATTGGATTCTGTTTTACTCAGTGCAAATAATTCATTGCTTTTAATTACAAGTCGTTGTTTCATTCTTTTAGGTTCTCATAGTTGAGCTTCATTTTTGCATTTGTCTGCCAGACATCTCGAGTACAGAAAACATTGCAAGGTTCATCTGACAATATTGGATGGTTGCCACGCGCTCCTGGCATGCCTGATGCGGAGGATGGTACAGCAAGATTCTTGGAATTGCTTACAGGAATAAGGTACCAAGCTAATACAATAGCTCCACTGCACTAGATGGTTGGACCTGTTAAGGAACTCTGTGTCAATTCTGTTATCATATCTGTTTATTCTATTCTTGTATATTCCTATTGCTTGCATGTCATGCTATATACTTCAGGAATGGGGAGCCACACATTGCCTAGCTCATTTGTGTATCTGCTTATTCCGGGTAAAGAAAATTTATTTTTCCCTTTGGACTTTGTTCTTCTCCCTTGTTCAATCCACATTTAGCGTTGTAGCACCTATAGTTATGGGAACTTTGATTTTCCAGGCCTCTTTAGCAATCACGGCCCCTTATACTTTGTTGGAACAAAGAAATTCTTTTCGAAGATGGGTCTAGCTTGCCATATTGCAAAAATTCACAGTGAGGTAATGAGTCATTACTCTGTGATCATTGCTGACTGAGTTTTGTGAAATTTGTCTTCCCTTTTCATTTGTTTTCTTGGATAAAGGCATCTGTTGAGCACAATGCATGGGAACTCAAGCAATACATTGAGGAGCTTTACTGGGAATCTGGTAAGCGTGTGATGCTGCTGGGGTACAGCAAGGGCGGTGTTGATGCTGCAGCTGCATTGTCAATCTACTGGTGTGATTTGAAAGACAAAGTTGCTGGTTTAGCACTGGTACAGAGCCCCTACGGTGGCACACCCTCGGCTTCTGACATTCTTCTCGAGGCCAGATTGCGAACAAAGAAACCCGCAGGATCATGAAGCTTTTGATATGCAAGCTAATTTAGGTAATAGCACCAATACCCGAGCTTGTTGAAAGTCCTTTTGTGTATATACTGAATTACAAGTTGTGTTTGGAAACATCTCAATTCATATTTGCATTGTAGGGTGACATTCGGGCACTGGAGGATCTTACTTGTGAGAAGCGAAAGGAGTTCATCATGAACCACAAGCTGCCATATGAACTACATCCACATGGCTACACTATTAATATAAAAAAAAGGAATAAAAAAAGACCCCTGTAAAACATTTGAAGTATCGCCGGACAGCTATCCTATTAATTTTTTTTAAAAAGGACTCGCCTAGAGCTCAGCGTGTGTTTTGTGAAAAGCATATAGCTGCGTGGCCATACTCTATAAAGAGAAATTTTCAAATGTATAGCCGCTCGGCTATACTCCATGAATATAATTTTTCAAGAGTATCGTAAGTGTAGCCATTCGGCTATACCCATTGAATACCATAATCTGAATTTCTCTTTTTCAGTTACTTTAATTAATAGTTATGCTTTAATTATTATTTAATTAGTAAATCATTATGATTTAAATATTTTATTTTTATTTAATAATATGTGATTACTTTTGTGTGTATTATTGAAAATTTTGTAACAATAAGTGTATTAAACATGAAAAAGGCGTATGTATGTGTAGAATACGAGTATTAAAAGTGAAAATGCTAAATTCTTTACAAGAGTGCGTGCCTGTGATCGTGTCTGTGACCAACTTTAGAATAAAAAGGGGATAAAACAGTCTGGACACGAACCAACCAAAGCAACTAAAATCTTTTGCTGAATTCCTCATTGTCTGATCTCGACCTTTTGCCCGATGGTGCTGCGTTGTCTTCAAAACTTACACTATGGTTCCATCACTTCTTGAATTATCCTAAATGCAGGGAAATTGCCTCACCTTCAAATGCTACTATAACGAATTCTACTGGGTTAATTCGAGTATTTTAAAATTCTAAATACCTAAATATGTAGCTTCCCCTCAATAAATAAATAAACTATGGTGAGACCAGGAGAAGGGATCACACACAGAAGAGATACACTCAAGATCCTCATTTCATTGGGAGTCATGCACATGGAAATGTCACTTTTGGGGTTGATCTGAACTGGCTGCTCCAGAAGTTGTGCTCGGCCCAGCACCATTCTCAATCGGAGGGGAAGTGCCCCATCTTCCTTATGATTCTAATGGGTCAAGTACATGCACTCCACCATCTGTAAGTCCTAATGCAAACTGATTGGGTAATGGGTTCAGATGGATGTGCCGCAACACGAGAGGATACACCCTTAAGCTGTTAAAACCTTTATGTTATCTTCACTTTGCTTACAAAGGAACATACCTTGGATTTGGAGGTAAATAAGCAGTAGGTAGTATTCGGCATCTCAATCTAAGTGTAGAAGCAGTGAGAACCCCCACATTTCCATCTTCAAAGCTAGCATAAATTGACTGGCTATCACAGGAATACGTAGCATGTGTGATTGGACCACTAGCGTCTCCTGGAACCCACTACATGAACTTAGTTCCACAGATGTAAGTAACACTAAGTAAACCCAAACCACATAGTAAAAGCAAACAACTAAACACACTAGAACATCACAATCACCAAAACATTGATCTTAATGCTTGCTTGCGCTCTTACTAGATACAAGCTTATGCCAGTGCTTTATGCGTGAAATGATCAAGGCCTATGCAATAATATCTATTTTAATTTTTAATGCTGACAGTGTTAATCTGAACTAACAGGATTTTTTATTTATAAAATAAAATAAAATATACTAACATTTTTATACTAGGATAAATTTAAGCAAAATAAACCATTGCAGCTGCTTCAGGCATTCTAATTTTGGTGCTTCGTACATATGGCTATCTGTGTTTCATGAACTGCCAGCAAAAGTGTCTGATCTAGGTGAAACGGAACTCAGGTATCCGCAAGAGGAGCAGCAGCTCGCCCACTTGGAATCTGAAGGAATTTACTAGCCTGCTTCTCCCATCCATCTGTGTTCCAAACACACAACTGCAGCGAAGAAAATAAAAACATTGATGACTTAACAACTCTAGTACCAAGTTTGCCATGCTCTTTCCACTGTCTTTCCCAAAAAAATTTATTTCCACTGTCTTTCCCAAAAAAATTTATTCTCAGTCAAATCCTTCTCTGTTGGATTTGGCCAGTACTCTTTCATCTTGACAACACAAGTTGTCTCCTGCAAAAATTAAGACAGAGGTGTAAAACTGAAAAAATAAAATGATGAAAAGAAAAAAAAAACGAAAAATAGTGCTCAAGGTTATGGATGTTCACGAAGTATATAACACCGCAATTTTGAACTGTTCCCCATCAAACTCTCTTTGGGCATTTGAAGCTGATCCGCACTTTTGACGTGCATTAAAATCATTCTATATTGGCCATAGACCATTGATGATAAATATCTGTGCAACGGGCTCATAACAATTACGTCTAGCAAGGTCTTTCATTCGCATGCAGTAGGTATTAGGCCAAGTCATCAATAAGATGTAAAATTCGAAATCAGTAGTTGCCGTATTTGCCAGCAGCAGCGGCGGCTGCCATGGAGAGCACGATTAAACAAAGGAAAATGATGTGCGTCATACTTGGGCTGGGTTAGGGGGCAAGAATCACCATTAAACTTTCAATGCTTTGCACCCATCGGACTAGTTGTTTCATGAAGAGCATCAACTATCCATCATGAAAAAGGGACATAATAAATATATGAATTCAAGGATATAATCAATTTCTTGTATTCAGAGACTAGCAAATAAATTGATTACTAAGTTGCTCCTTCTTTGAAAAAGTAATATTTTGTTGTATCTTGGAAACCATGAGAGGGGATAGAGTTAATTAATTTCTTATAAAAAAAACTACAAAACAAAAGTGCTCGAGGTTAGAGAAAGTCGTTAAGAAAGACCTCATCAGAATTCGGTGGCTACAATCCAATTATAATTTTATTTTTTTCGTCGCTAAACTGGCTTTGGGCATTTCAATAAGGTGTAAAATTTGAATTAATCATAGTCACCGTATATGCCAACAGCGGTGGGGGTGGCGGCTGACATGGAAAGCACAATTAAACAAAGGAAACTTATGTGCACCACACTTGGGGTGGGTTAGGGGCAACTATATCAATTATTCGCAAGAATCAGCATTAAACTGTCAAATGCTTTCCACCCATGATGCTAGTTGTTTCTTGGAGAGCATCAACAACTATATCCATCATGAAAGAGAAAGATCACATAATAAATGTATTGTAGGACCTTGCAAGAACTCGGTGGCTACAATTCAATTAACATTGTAAATACCTCTAAAATAGACTTAATACAACAGACGGACTAAACGATGAGAGCTAGTTTACTACTAAAGGCACTGGTCTGTAGCCCAAACATCAACATAATGCACACATAAAAACCATCATGAAAGAAATGAAAGAATAGAAAAAAGACTGTTAATTACAACTTTAACTTACTCACCACCACCAGACTTCAGTGCTCATTGCTTGGGCTAATCAGCTATAGTAGGAGTCTTACCACCATCATCCTCATCTCTACCACCACACTTCTACAATCACATAGGCAATTTATAAAAGTGTGATTACAGCATAGAACTCAGAAATAACAATTTGGTATTACCTCTGCATCTGGTAATAATGAGTTTGCAATCCGTTGCTTGAAATTCATTTCCCCAACAAACATATCATCTGTTGGCTTCCTTCTTTTGAATGTTTCCATCACTACAATTCCAAAACTGTACACATCCCCTCTTGTTAAAACCATTCCTTCCAATCCGTACTCTGCATTACGAAAAATCTGCCAAGGAGGCCTGGGCGGGTCAGGGCTGCGCTAGGTGGCTCTAGGTGGCGCTATTTGGGTCTAGGGGGCTCTGGGCGGGTCTAGGCGGTGCTGGGAGGGTCTAGGCAGGTCTAGGCGGGTCTAGGCGGGTTTGGGTGCCAGGGTGGGTCTATTGCATTTTTTCCAGGTACATGTGGCCTTTTCTTCATTGAAGCCGATATTTCGAGCAAGAACTGTATCAGATGCACCACCTTTTGACCTCAGCAATATTATGTCATTGCAGGCACATTTCTGCAGCCACTTTCTTTTAGTCTATTCTTTCACTTAATTTTCTTCTATGTTTATTGATGGGATTCAAAATTATGGCAGCTCATCTTTAGCAAGTTTGAATTTGATGGGAAACTGAATCCTACTTTTGTGGAAGAGGCATTTAAGATCCCATTATCAAGCATACGAGCATATCTAAAACAGTCCTATTACTCCCAGGTTTCACATTCTTTTCATTTTGTTGGATTATCTTCTTATGACTAAACATAATTGATCTGCTAGGTGTGTTGAAATATAATCCTGTTCTACCTGATTTCTCCAGTTCTGCCTGATTTATCCTGTTCTGCCTGATTTCTTAGAGCAGAAGTCATTTTCTATTTTCTGTTCTGTCTATTTTAAATGATGTAATGAGAACCATTAGATCATAGTCTAGGTGGATTCTCTAGCTTAGATTTGGTATGACACGTGTAAGCACCTAATAGGGTGACAGTTGTAATTCTGTTAGAAGAGAATCACATTTCTCTCTCTGTCAGACACACTATGTAAGCTGCAGATTGTAAGAATTCAATAGAACAGTGCCTTCCTCATTTCTCTTCATTCTCTCTAGCTGAAATCTCCAGAAAATACATCTCTTCCTAATCTGAAAATACATATACAAACTAAGAATTCTAACATGGCCTCAGAGCCAGGTTCGATTGTTTGTTGGGCGTGAATCTGTGAAGATCGAGCTGGTGTTTGGCTGGGCTGACGTTGAGCTCACTCAAAATTTCACGAAGCTTTTCTAGCTGCGTCTGATGTCTAACATGGCAGGATCAAGCTCTTCTGAGCTTCGTACACCAGTTTTCAATGGAGAAAACTATGAGTTTTGGAGCATTCGAATGAAGACCATTCTGAAATCTCATGGACTGTGGGATTTGGTTGAAAATGGTTTTGATGCTTCAGATCCAAAGAAAAAAAAAGGAAAGGAAGAAGGATCTAAAGCTGCTGAAGAAGAGAAGTCTATAACGGCTGAGATTTTGATGAAAGATGCTCGTGCACTTGGACTGATCCAAGGTGCAGTCTCAGACCAAATTTTTCCCAGAATAGTGAATGAAGAAACCTCAAAAGGTGCATGGGATATTCTGAAGCAGGAGTTTAGAGGCGATAAACAGGTACGAAGTGTGAAGCTACAAGGCTTACGTAGAGAGTTTGAATACACTCGTATGAAGGATAGTGAGTCATTCTCTAGTTATGTTGCTAAACTATTTGATCTAATTAATCAAATGAAAAGTTATGGTGAAGAGTTACCTAGAGAAAGAGTTGTGCAGAAATTACTTATTAGCTTGCCTAGATCTTATGACTCTATATGTTCTGTGATTGAGCATTCAAA